TTCAATGGTTGTAAACCTTCTTCAACGTGAAGGTTTCATCGCGATCTTTTCCTTCATCGAAAAACTCATGATAATCGAAAACCTCAGAGATGCGAGCCCGAATTCGAACCCTCGACGTAGAAGCATTTCATCATTCATCATCATCAATTCAGCCAAAAGACGTCCACTGCTGAACAACGATTTATCTTGCGCCACTTGCATTCAGCTGATTCCCGCAGCCTTCACCAGATCATCACCACCTTGTGAGTGGTCTGCCCACGCCGCGTCTACCGGTACGCGGTCGCCACTCGAAAACTCTTCAGCGCTATCGGTCATCTGTTCTGCGAGCAATGTGCCCTGCCCACTTAAGCTTTGCAATTCTTTGGAGCTATATCGGTTACTCTGGTTCCCTTGCGGATATCCTCATTAGTGATTCGATTTCGCAACTCCGAGCATAGCCCTCTCCATTGCCCTTTGAGTGACCTTGAGCCTTCTTAAGGCCCATAGTGAGCAACCACTCTCAGTACCGTAAATCATCACTGCAACACACACTGGTCGAAGACTTTTGTCTTGAGACACTGTGGTGTTTTGGATAAGTACATATGTTTTACGTTTTAACAACTGTTTTAAAATATTCACCTCCTATTTTAATATCCCATTTTGGTTTCATTAAGTTTGAGGTTTAAATTTTACTTTTAAAACAGGACGTAAGTAATTTAAAACAGTCTTTAAAACCCAAAATATGCTCCCACAAAAGTTTACGAAATGTCTACAACAACTTTTGTTCCATGACTTATGACTTATTCCTCAGATTTTACTTTCGTACAAAATACTTTTATGTATTGAAATTGATCGTACTTAAAGGCATTTTTAACTCTGTGCGATGAAGAAAAGAAAAGTTTTGGTTTTAGTAACAGCTTACATATTTCTGCAAACAGCAATGTGAACATTATTGCGTTCCGGTTTGGAAGGGTAAGCATGCAATTGGAGGGTTAGGTTTCAAGGTGACGGGCGCAGCGGCAGCGCCCCTAAGATTGAAAATGTTGTAAACCGCCAGTGTCGCGAGTAATGAAATAGAGGACTCGGTCAACATAAATTTATTGTATAATAAGGCAGAAGAAAAGGGTACAATAAAAATAGTATAAAACACAGGTACAATATCAAAAACACTCCCTACTTAAATGTTACGAAACATGTGTGAAACAGTAATGAATTTACTCCAACAGGACCGTAATTTCTACAAATATTAGATACAGTACATGATATTAATTGAAAACTAAAATCTTTGCGATTTAAAGCTCTGAGTGGCACAGCAACTGTTATGGATAAGCATGTCGCTTACACCAGGCGCACGATATGTTCGTTCCGTCACTTGCGTAAAATCGCTAGCGTAAATACATCGAGTATATAAATAGAGACGAAATAAGGGCCACACATTCCTGGTAACCCATCAGTGATACATCACTTATAAATATCAACTCTCGTTTGCACTGAAATAAAGACAGGCCAACAACTGTCCTGTGTGTATGTCTCCGTATATTCCAAAAATACTGTGTATTTGTTGTAATAAAGATAATATCTCTAACAATGGCGTGCTGTGTCATTTGGTGGTGTGGGGGAAAAATTGCAAATCAATCTAATTACAAAACAAACAGAATCAAATTTCATCGGTAATTAAATTTGTAATTTTGCAATTTTCGTCCATTATAGCACAGCTCTGTGACGGTGTGACCTCCTTACATCACTCTCTTCCTTCACTCTCTCATTTTGTTTTCGTTCCACAGTCACTCCCAGCTCGACCACCACAACAGTCAGAGCTGTTAATAAGCTTATCATGTGTAATAATTTATGTCTACACCCTTCATGTATCTATTTCTGTAATTCAGTTTCTCGGCCCATTTAGAGGTAAGTGTCTTAATAATAAAGTGTAGGGAGTGTTTTATACTGTTATACCTGTTTTTTTTACATTATTTACTCGTACCTTTATATTGTTACAGCCTTTCTTTAAACTTTACTTCTTTAATAAATTTTGTGGACCGGAAGTTTCCCATTTCATTGCCGTGAACCTGTTCACGGCTAGTTAGGGTTACAACCCTTTCAGCTCTAGTTAACTGGTCGATTTGAAGTGAAACAATTAACGACACCCATTGACGACACCCGTTAATTGCTTCTAATTCGGGCTGGCCAATCGGAGCGCAATTGTCACAGTAATGATATGGCAGAATAGGTTTCAAACAAATGAAATGACATTTCGTCTCTATTTCTGGTTATATACGATGCATAAATACCAGTCAAAGTGTCAAATAGTAGGTACAACAGAAACTTAAAATATTATTTTTGGCAAACTGATTACGTTTTGTAAAAAAAATATGGAACAAAAGTTCTTGTTGATGATGTTAGTAATGTACAGTCCTGGGAGGTTGTTAGTATTTTAAAAATAACCCTATTAATTCCAAAAGGTTGAGTTTTATTGTAAACTTAACTCAATTTAGCAACCGGCATTCCTACGTCCCGGACGGATCAAACGAGAGGTATTCATTGCTCCGGATAGTTTTAAACTTACGATGAAACGTTTTACACAAATACAAAGTCTACGTTATACATGGTGTAATCGTTAAGTGTGCCAAGGCCATTATTCCGTACATATAAGAGACATAATAAACCTTTAAACTGATGTTGAGAAGAAGAAGAAAGTGCGTTATCTAAAACCACATCAATATTTTTTTAAATAAAACTACAAAAAGACTTAATACAAAGATCGAACACAAAGAAAAATTTCTTCGATCCGATAGAACCAATTCTTTTTGTTCAATCTTTGTATAAATAATTATAATAAAGTAGAAGAGCTATTTCACAAACAATCTCAATAATACACATAATACGACATTAATAGAGAAACTTTAGTTTCGAACAACAGCTGGGAAAACAAAATTTTCTGCTTACTTAAAAATAATTTATAATGAGTAAATTATATTTATTTTCATTTAATTAAAATATACTTTTATTACTTTTTTTATATCAGTTTCGTTATCTGTAAATTTATTGTTACCTCTTAAAGTAGGTCAACCAAAACCCTCTTTACGAATGTCATATTAAATGTATGGGGATATCATATTTTATTTTTAAAAAGCTGTGGAAATTGTTTCACTCATTAGGTAACGTACGTTTTACGTTGTACGTTCATATTTACTTTGTAATAATCAATATTTACTTTAGTTTAGAATAATTGCCTGGACACACTTAACGATTGCAGCCTGTATAATCATATTAGGTATCGTTCGTTTTAGTTCGCTCGCACTTGGGTAAAACTCAATTAAAATTATTAATGGTGAGCTCCTGTTTAGACAGAAACAGAAGGAAGTTCAATTATCGCCATCTTTAACGTGTTATACCTTCCAGTGCTGAGTACGAGCCTCTTTAGAAGAGACCAAAGGACACCACATTTTTTTTTCACCGTAATGTTTACTTTACCTTGCCGCGAATCGGAATAGAAGGAAAATTTTGTAATGAAACTTTACATAGAATAATAAACTTATGTCAATTGTATAACGTATAACCTAGATGCTATACAGTAACTGAGGAAATTCTGGAGACTTCGCGAAAATTCCCGAAAAACGCGCAACCTGTCTCTGGCTCGTATTAGTTCAAATAAGTATTTTATCACACTTCCACGTAAATAGTACGATTGCATGCAGGCTAACTTGACTATAATGCCCCAAATAAAACTTCCGGGCCTTTTTTCTTCTCATTACAGCCATGGTCAGTGCAATTTGAAGAAAAAAGGCCAACGGGCTTTATTTGGGGCGTTATAGTTAAGTTAGCCCTCATGCAATCATACTATATACGTGCATGTGTGATGAAAAACATTGTACGTTTCACGAATGGTACGGAAATCACGAAACTTGATTCCTAAAGCCCTCAGTCTTCTAATAGTCTCGTTCGTAATACCTTATTTACCGCCTTTAATATTCAATTTACTAGTAACAGATTTCATAGATTGTCAAAGTCAAATAATCTTTGTTTCATAGGTTATAATAAATTACACTTGAAATCGTCATAGTGGTTAAACTCTACTGCTTATTCGTAAGGCAGATTCCCCGAGAAAAAGAAGAGCCAGGAACTCGATAGGTTGCTCTTTGTAAAAAGAACATTTGAAAACACTACCATTTACAATATTTATTTCTAAATGGGACTCTATCTTGGATTTTTGTCATCCAAGTGCGCAGGAGCTGTATAATAACCTTTAGAACAAAGTTTTTATTTCACTATAGTTTCAAACCTCGTAAATTTTGTATATCAACCAGAATCTTGTTATAGAAGCGTATACATTGCACTGTCGACTTCACAAATGACTTTGTGAAGTCGACAATCAAGAACAGCTGGTTTATTTTTATACCCCGTATTAATGTTATGCCTGTCATTATTTTTCATAAAAAAATATTCTTCTTAACATAAATTATATTATAATTATTAATACAAAGATCGAACACTCAGAAAAAATCTCATAGACGGCGCTACGACTAAAAAGTCGTTGAAAAACCAAATACAAAGACACGACGCAAGCACATAGAAAAATTCGTGAGGTCCGTTGGTTCGTTCCGTGGCTTAGTTGGTATAGCGTCTGTCACGGAATGCAAGAAGACGTCGGTTCGAATCCGACCGCATCGAAGGACTTTTTTCTGAGTGTTCGATCTTTGTATTAATAATTATAACAAAATAGTGGAATAATTTCACAAAACAGATAAAAATTTAGTTAATAAATTATGTTTTCATAAATGTGTTGTGACGCTAGTGTAAGAATGTTCATCTCTTTAAACTTATCTCTCAAAGTTTAAAGAGATAACATAGTCGTCCTAATCGACCTGTGGATTGAAAAGCAACCGTTCTCCCGTTGGATTACCGCCGTTCTTTGTTATAAAGAACAAAAAATATGAAATGAATCCATTGACCTATATGAATGAATCCGTTTCATATTATACTAATTATTAAGTTAACTGGTGAACAAAGTGTAGTGGACCGACCTCTCTCCAGATAGCAGTACTGGTAGGGCTGCGCGAGCGGAGCGGCGCGTGCGCACAGCACGCGGGAGCCGCCGCCGCCGCGCGCGTGGGCGCACCGCGCGATCAGCTCCACCCAGCGCTCGATTACTTTGTCCCTGTTTGTACACCATACGAAATAAGTGCATTGAACCATATGATTTGGAAGTCCCAAATGAAATAAGTGTAATGAATAATCACGATCTAAATGTTGATATCACGATGATCAACAAAATAATGAAAAGAAGCATCTTTTCGTATATTTCAGAAATTTGATAAGTTCTAACCGGGATTAAAATGACCATAATTTGTTGTCAGACATGACAGATTTTCGTATGGTCACCGGTGGTCATCGAGTATATAACCAGAAATAGAGACGAAATAAGGGCCATATATTCCTGGTAACACATTAGCGATAGAGCTCTTATAAATATCAACTCTCGTTTGCACTGAAATATAAACAGGCCAGCTACTGATCTGTGTGTACGTCTCCGTATATTCCAAAAAATATTCTGTATTTATTGTAATAACGATAATATCTCTAACAAAGCCGTGCTGTTCTATTCGGTGGTGTGAGAAAAACACCAAAACATCAATTACAAAACAAACGGAATCACATTTCATCGGAAATTGAATATGTAATTTTGCAATTTTCGTCAGTTACAGCAAAGCTCAAGTTAACTGGTCGATTTGAAGTGAAACAGTTGAAAAATAGTTTTTCTATTAAATACCTAATTCATGTTAACTTTCTTACACAATATCGACTGTGAACTGGCAATTGGTACAATCTCAGTTTTGACAACTTTACAGGTGAAGAAAAAAATTGTTTGCATCATTTATATAGCATCTGGTTTATTAAATAAAAATACGTAGTTTTTAAATATTTTTATTACACATTGAAATATGTGTGTACAGTACGTATTTTTATTTAATAAACCTGATCATTGACTTACAATTATATGGACGTCGGGTCCGCGCCAAAAAGTGTCCGAACTTATAGGGCGTTAAAATCGTATACAGAGCGTCATTCACGCTTTAGTCTTAGTTTGTTCGACTGACAGCGAAGCAAGCAAAATTAGACAGTACTGCGATGACATTACAATTTAAATCTAACGTTTTAGCTTTTTCATATTCCTTTACATGTCACTACGTTTAAAT